GACATTGTACGCGGAATTCGGTAATGCTTAACGGTCGGCGCTTAAATGTGACTGACATGGTGGTCGCGTTGGAGGAGCGGTTGGACTGCATATGGAACGAGAAGGTTGTCAAGTATATGACACAGGTCGTGTCAACGCTTTCGGTTGGAAACCGATGGTAGGTGGTCCGAATTTTGTGGGGACCTCCCGGCCTTTCATGTACCCTTGCTCGTCTAGTAACGCCTGTACATGTTCAGTACATCCGCAGCTGTACAGTGACGCTTTGAGTCGCTGGGATACTCTTGATCTGGCCATTCGGGTCCGGAAGCGTGTTATGATGCTCATACAATAGGACGTCAACGTTTGGTAGCCTATACTCTAACTTTCGGACGCCCTACGAAGCGGTTTGCGGAAATCAGTGTCTGAGTGGATATTCAACGCGGATGAGCCAGTGGACAGGGTACGCGATTACAGCATAGGCGCATATTCCATAACGAAGGACGATTCTTTCATTCTCTCTCTGGGCGATCGCTACTGTCATACCCCTCTCATTCTTAGTGTGTAGTAAAAGATGAATGAGGGGTATCTCCCTCACAAAACCAACGTTCCTCATACATCAAGGCATGAGCTATGTTCCCAACAGGTGAAAGTGATATCCCGGTGCGTGTCCAGTGGGATCCCACCCATCTATTCGTACTCCAACTGTTCATGTTTACAACCGTACACCTGTTTGCAGAAAATGTGCAATTAGACGGTGTTAGGTAACTGTCATTGGCCTGCTTATTGAAATTTAAACGCCAACATGGACTGGGTCATGTTCAGTTCAGTTGTATAACTATGATCCGAGCAACGAAGTGCTGTGGATTCAGTTGCCACGACTCACACCGTAAGAATAACAATAAATAACAACGGTAGGATAGCAGAGTCGAGTGCAAATAGAATGTGGAGAAAGCAAGAAGGAAATGCGTTAGACTAATCGGAATGGAACGAAATTTAACAACCAGATGAAAGAAACCGAACACAGGAACGCCACTGACTTCGCGACTGTGCCATGTCTGATACGGTCTCTAATCATTGGTGTGGACCGTTCCGAGGCCCCATCTACGAAGACGGCACCAGCCTAACCGTGTCTGTCAATTTCTTCAGGCTTCTATGCCACCTTATGAACTAGACACATCGAGGTTTCGTCAAACTTGGTGCAGTCACAGCGTATAATGCACGCCGAGGAAGCCAAACAACGGGCATACAGAAGACATGACTTAGTCAATGCAAGCAACTAAGATTTAGCGAACACTCGAGTGAGGAACCAGAAGGCTTCTGGTCAAAAACCAACTGGTGGACCTCAGCATTGCTCACCTGGTGTTCCCATCAAACGTGAGCAATACTACACAAGCACCGGTGGTTAAACATGGCCAAGCGTTTAATGTCTTCATTGCGAACTGGCCGTCTCAGATCCATTCAGTAACACTGGCCTTATCGCGGCGTTATACACCCTAGCTTTCTCTGACGAGCTGAGATCCCGCCGTCCGCATAGATGGTTGAGCCTCTGGAATATCACACCGGCCTTGTTGATACGCGAAGTAACCACTTCATTGGTGACCACCAGAGGTGACACAGCTACCATCACTTCCAATGGCTGTTCGGAAATAGCTAAAATCAGAGGTGCGTCAGCCCAAGCCTGGAACAACACTTTGTACTTTGTAGGGGCAAACTACATGCCGAAGCATGCAGCGATAAGCACAAGTTTATCTAGTAGCTTTTGCATAGCCAATGCATTAGACCAAAGGAGGGCTATGTTGTTTGCATACTCAATGTTTGTGAGTCGGTCACATGGCATAGCTTTCATTCCAGAACAGTCTGAAAACACAGAGTCATTTATGATTAAGTAGATCACAAAGGAAAGGAGACATGGGACACTGCTGACGAACACCACTTGTTGTGGGGAACTCAGGAGACAGTTTCCCGTAGACCCTTACACGGGGCCTCGGAAATCACGGAAGAGACATCAGAACGGAGAGGAATTTAGCCAGCACGACCTTCATAGATAGGCAGTGCCAAAAGCTGGTGTGGTCAACAGATTCGAACGTGGCTTTCATGTCAAGAAAAACCGCCCTAGTCGGTCGTCTGTGTCTCTGCTCTAAAAATCGGTGAAGAGTAAATATGTGGTCGAGACAAACAAGACCAGTGCGGAAGCCAGCCTAGCTTTTAGTAATTCGGTCTTCACGAGGAGCAGTAAGTCGTCGAAAAATGATACCCGTGAGAAGTTTTCACGCAATGGAAATGAGGCTAATGCCTTGATTATTTTCGCACAAAGTAGGCTGACCCTTCTCGAAGATGGTCATAACTGTTGATGGTCACCAGTCGGGAGGCGCTTCTACAATGTCCCAAATCGTGTTAAATAGAGAAGCAAGTCCAGCCAAAAAAGATTCACCTTCATCTTTCTGCAAATATGGGAGAAGATCGTCGGGTCCAGGAGCCTCGTTTCGTTTCAACATGGAAAGCTCATTTCGAATTCCTTCCAAAGTGGGAGGTGTGATATCAACTCCCACGTCGGCTCAGGTGATTTGAAAAGCGACAGTAGGCGACAGCAGGCTTGCTGAAATGCTCCTTGAAATATTTCGCCCAACGGGCCAGTCCACGACGATGAGAATGGATCAAAAGTCCATCTCTCTCAGCTATTGTCTCACTAACCGATAGCTTCCTAGGATCTGTGTTCCGGATGAGTTGGAATAGTATCCAGTTGTTCCCAATAGCACTGGCTTTCTCCTTCTCACAGGGCTTTGCAACCCACCAACGTTCCCGGTCAAGTCGAAGACTAACTGTCAGACGTCGTTTCAGGAAGTTACGGATACGCTGACACAGAGTGCTCATCGGAACCCGTTTACGCGCTTTGATCAAACTGATTAATGCTTCAGAGATTCATTCGCAGTTAGGATATCTCAAGTTAGGTGCACAGCATGAGTCAAAGGCAATCTTCATGGCACATTTGAGACAATCCCAGTCAGCGTTCGGCTCACCAACCTCATCCATCAACGACAATTGGTGAGCCAATTCGTTATGATATTGTTGCACCGCAGACTGCGGGTTCCAGATAAGTTAGAAGGTAGGCGCTTCTTTGAGGTTGGAACACAGCGACAAACGTGCGCGCACTAGAGTATGGTCGGAGTTCAGGCATGTCCTCCAAAATGATCGACAGTCTTGGACTGATGTGCGCCATCTGAAGCTGATGGCAATATGGTCAATTTGGGTCCAGGTCATTAAGGAATTCGGTGGGCGCGAGGTGACGCGTTGTGAACGTTTTTGTTGAAAAGCAGTGCTGCTAAGGTAGAATTTGTGGTCGGCACACAGTTGCAGGAATCGATCAACATTGTCCGTTCGGATTGCATCGAGTGCGAAGGGGTCGCCCAGGCATTGTTCAAAGTCTAAAAGACGACTCACTTGGGCGTTTAAGTCACCAACAACAATCACGGTGTCAGTAGTCTTCGCCATGTGGAGAAGAGATGAAAGATGGTAGTAAAAATAATCTTCGGTATCCTCCGAACTGCAGTCAGCAAGAGCATAGATGGAGGCGATGAAAAGGCACCTTGTCTTCATACGGTGATTACTAACCCCAATAGAGGTTTGAATTCGAGCCGCATACATGCGACTGTTCAAAGGTATCCAGTCGCATGCGACTGGGCCTTCGAAAATGTGTGGAGCAAGCGATAGCGCATGCCGTAGCAGGCAGTTGCATTTTGGTCGGAATGTTCTAAGTTTGCGGACTATGAAGGCAGAAGAGAAATCCAACTGATCTGTGTAACAAACAGCCCAGAAAGTGCATTCATACTTGTTGAAATAAGGTTAGTGAATTGGCATGATACGTCTAGAGCCCTGACAGTGCATGAAAGCAAGTTAGCTCCGTGAACGAACTAATATAAGATCAAGATAATCACGGACTGAAGTTAATGTTTATCAGGAGATCAAATAAACCTTTGTCCAAATAGATACACAAATCGGAAAATGATTTGGGTTACTCATCTATGTTGGGAGACGGAGATGAGTGGTGGCGGAGAGTAAGCAGCGAAATATAACCAGTTGAACGCACCATTTTGGCCATCCGCATCCACCACAGAACAGAAGCTTAAGTCCATGTTCGCAGTTCCAATCCGATTATTAGGCTGAGAGAATGCGCTTCCCTGAGGGTCTTAAAGAGTGGAACGGACACCCAGTGTTTTTCCGCATGCAGGCAGCAACCTAACTGCGTGTGGTCATAGTGACTTCAAACGTAATTATTTACAACATCCTACCAATACCATACATGCATTAAGCGCGCGACAGTGGATGGAAGGTTTGACCGTATTTGAGCACATTGAAACAGGAAGTAAGAAGAGCTGGTTGTATGATCAAAACACTCCAATGTGCTCCATAAACAAGATATGTGACTCGATCGATACATGTGAACGGCTGGTAGTTAGCGGAAAGACGCAGTAATCATTAAGAGAACCAGGAACGCTAAGCTCGGAGTAAGATAAGAAAAAACACTGAAAGATGCGCATGCGGACTTGGTGTGACATGGGATTTCGACAACACGGAAATACCAAGATCCCAGAATGTAATTTCACACTGAAAAACAATGCGAAAAGCAACTAAACATACACCGCCATGCCAACCACATTAGCGTAGCGAAATCGCCGGGATGATGCCTAGTGCCATCTGCCAAATTCCAGTGAAATACCACCACGTGACAAAGCACTGGATATATCCGGCCTACATGTGAATTATACCGACAGATAGCGCATCAAATCGGTCACTCTGGGCTCGACTTTAGGAGAAAATAGGCTGGGAATTAGGGAACTGACAGTCGGTTGACACAGAGAGACCAAGTAACTGCGAGCAGGCAAAGGTCTCTTTCGGTGTAACAGAGGTGAGCTATCCATTTGCTATCTCATTTCGGTACATAAAAACGTTTGGTTAAAGCGATGACACCAGTTCGTTGAAACAGTTACCACTGGAAAGCAAAGCAAGAACATGTGAAAACTTACTGAATAGCTTCTAAGAAAATACTCGGTGACTGCTGAATAGTAGGCGATAAATGAGAAAGGCAGTGTTCGTTCAAGTCGTCCACGCTACTAATCGCCACGAGAAGTAAGTTGGAGAGGTGCAATTCAGACAAATTCATGGCACTGACCCAAAGCTTTAACAAGCTAAGAGAAACATCAGCCCGTTCGTCCAAACGGGGGAGTCTCAAGGATAGGGACGGCAAGGAGGAAGAAAGAACGTGGTAGCGCAAGGTTGAACGCATCGGAGGAGTACACCAAATAAATGACAGTTTCATGACAGACGCGAAGTCGCGTAAAGCATCTTCCGATCCGTCCTTAACCATTTGGTCCACCACATCTGACAAGAGAGTGCTTAATTGGTCGTCAAAAGCCGGGACGGAATACGGGCGCTTAGTGAATACACAAAACAGGAGCCGTAACAAACACGGACTGTTATTGCTGAGTTGAATAAATGTGGACCACAGTAGGGATGAATCGAACTGAACAGGCGGATCGATCAATAAGGGATCGATATCCAAATGCGTACAAAACAAATCGATAAGAAAATATCGAAGATCACAAGGTAGATGCTCAAAGCAGTCAAAGGGGAGTCGCAAAAGGGAAATGTCGGGAGACGGGCTCATTTGCACGGCGCAGAATGTGGTAGTTATCAGTTCGTGCAGGCATAATTGGCAAAATTTGGTGCTGTTCGGTTGACGCGAAAGTAGTGCAAGTAACACACTCCAGTTTGCAAACGAATTTTCCACGGAGTAGAGTGAGGAAAGACGGCACAGCCCACGCTGAAAATGAACGGCCAAATGTGGAATGAGCGGATTGGAGGCGCATTTCGTAAGAGAGTCAACGGCTTTGGACAGGAAGTGGACAGTGGAATCGAGACGACCAGTGGTGTGTAAGGGACGTCTAGACTGGATAGCAGAAGGTAACACATTTACGCATGCCGTGAAGAAATCGCAGAGAGCATCCAAAAGAGGTCTGTGGAAGAGTAGATATGTGCGACAACTGTCAACAAGTGGAGAGAAGATAACAGGAATCTCTAAAAAACATTAATTGGAGTCGTGAAACAATTGCTAGTGGCGGATACCACAATGACAGACAGACTGAACCAAGCAATAAATGAAGTGTTACACTACAATGGGTAAGCACAAACATGTCACATGTGCGACAAGTAAAATTTAGGGACCACCAGCCGAAACGTCCAAGCACGAGTCAGTGAGTCGCGGAGAGGCAACACTAAACACAGGAAATAGTTTTTAGACGCCAGAAGAGGGAAGGCACGCAATCTGTAGAAGAACCGCTATTCACCCTGAAGTGATTCTCGGTCGATTGGGCCATTAGGACCGTAACTAAAGCAGATAAATGTTATGTGCTGCTCGGTTGCAACGTGGCACCATACAATGGATGCCTCAATCAACTCGACGGAGTAGACAAGGAGCATTACCGATTGTTTCTGACGACAGGAGAGCCCAGTTCCCATTCATTACTTCGGTACCGCCATACGGTTGCTGAGCAGAAGAGTACAAACCCGCCAAAAAACTTACCTGTGGTTCACTGTGGAACCATGTGCAACAGCTGACAATCGAAAAACATGCACAGAATATGCCTAGCCTTCTAAAGTGATGTGTACCAGGCCAGAAGCACATTCATAGTGTTTAGAGTTACATTCCAGAGCTTGACCTGATCGTCATTGCCCGGTGCGTCACCTCGTTACATAGAAGAGTGGAAGTAAGCTTGCAACATAATCAGAATCTTAAAGCATATTTGAAGTCGATCAGGCGGTGTCACATGAGCCCAAGGACAAAGCCAGTCAACGGCCCGCGCACAATTTGTTGGATGCTGTTCAGTCATGTATACCCGAGTTGGAACGACTGTGTGCACTTGACCAAGTGCCGAAAAGCTTGATACAGTACAGTGTGAATATTTCAAGCAATACGTACAAAGGGTGTGCACAAATGTACAAGGAAGTACATAAGGCTCCTAAAAAGCTTGCATCTAACGTAACCCTAACCGAAATTCTCATCCAATCCAGAAGTCTATGTGCACAATCTGTCCAGGATACCGTTGAATCCATTTCAGCTTGAAGCATTATGCTTAGAACTAAAATTATGCCGTATCCAATCAGTCGGTGGACAAGACCATATAGGAACGCAGTTTGAAAACCTAATGCACTGACAAGCTGAATTAACACCCACTTCACCTCTGGCCAGAGACACTTTCAAAACCACCTTAGTGCACCTATGTCAACAGTATCGACGATGCGAGATCATCAAACATTCTGTAGAAGAAGCAAGCAAAGAAGTGAGGTCGAACACCTATCTTATTCGTTCTAGACCAGATAAAGGATCGGGATGGGTGCCAATGTAGTAATAAGATTACATTTCAAAATTGCTAGTTATCTTATATGAGACAATACAGGAGGATAAGACGGCGCACGACAAAGTAAAAATTACAAACATCTTGGAAGAATTAAAATAGATGAATTTGATAACAGATGTTCTGCTTCAGCAATTAACTCCAATTGGCTCTCATCCACCTAGGCTCTATGGATCGCCTAAAACGCACAAGCAATAGGTCCCTCTACCTCCAATAATTGAGATGTCCGCTTTTGCGTACCACTTAGTTGCGAAATAGGTTGTGCAATTGTTGAAAACCTGCACGAAAGGGACTATCTAAACATTCGTTGAAGGAGTTGTTCGAATTCGATGATGAAGTTAAAGACTTGAAGGCAAACGGTAAACTGATGCTCTCTTTTGGTGAAGACTCATTTTTCACAAACGTTTCATTACTGGAAATTGTTAATTTTATCTGCGAATATATACTGGAAGACAGACTAAACGTTATCAATCCAGTAGCTAAGTTCAAAGAGTTAATTTTACAGTGTGCCTTCAGTAGACAATTCTTGTTTGACGGTAACTTGATGGTCTGACGATGGGGGTCTCTGTCGGACCCCTAATGGCCGACATCTTTCTCGAAAAGCGTGAAGATGATCCCATCCAACCGGTTATTGCTTTATTGAATTCTTACTGGAGGTATATGGATGACACTTTCATTATCTGTGATTCTCGCACTGATGTCATCCGTCTGCTCGATCAGTGCAACAGTGCCTCAATGAAGTTCACCAGTGAAATGGAGAAAGCAAACAGGCGTTTCTGGAAATGTTACTGAGGAGGCGCGAGGGTGGCTCACTTGAGAGAAGTGTCTTGCGGAAAGTTACGTAAGTTCGACAATACACACATTTTTCGAGCTTCGTCCCTGGGAAGTACAGTTGGAACCTAGTGTGTTGCTTGTACATACGAATTGTCCAAAAGCCAAGTCGAGTCGTGTCACGTCACCTTCAGATTACTCGCCACAAGAAGCAAGATCATGTCAATCAACCTCGCACCAAGTCAGGTAACCCGCTGGTTGATTGTTTAGTCACTCTCTTCGGTACAATGTGATGCAAAGAAGCAGCGCCATCGTACTGTTAGTTACCAAACCATAAGCGACCACAGGGGAGTCGATGGACAGGGTTGAAATGATGTAGAACGGAAAGCAGGAAGCCAACTGTCAAACTCCGGCTGCTTTGTGGTCAGGTTTTTGGACTAGTTGTTTTGGCTGAGAAGAATAATCATCCTCCTTCTCATGCTGAGGCAGCCTGATGGCATCATGCTTACACAATGCAATGAAAACCTCTCCAAACGATTTCTGGTTGTCTTGATCAATGCAAAGCTACCTTCTACAAAGAACGAGGTGGATATGAGTGAGGACGCTACTGCCCGGGACTATGCGCCTCCCTATTTCCCCCTTACATCTTTACATACATGTCGACCCATTCCAAGTGCACTTCTATCGCTCTTGTTTTCAGCACCTAAATTCATGTGCCATACCCACCATGTTATTACAAAAGGATTTCTTTTGGCATCGAATCACAAGAAATCGCGCGGCAGTGTTTTGTTCCCCTTTCAAACTCAGCTGTCTGTGTCCCCACATTACCTGTTTCCAAAGACGATTGGATATACCTTGTTACTTGAACGGATATTCTGGATTTATTTTGGCTATCTAAGCACTTTGGAATTATAACCCACAATGACGCCCGTGCATTTGTGCAGACGGGTGAGCAATCTGCTTCGTACTTGCTATGAGTAGTAGCCATTAAAGCTTTTTTTATTTGGCTTTGCCTGTACTGTCTCACTCCCACAACCATCCACCTTAACGCAATTACTCCATTGCTTTACGCATGCGTATTTTATTCGGTCGACTTATGTGAGATTTCAATTTCAACTGCTTCTATTACCAACATACGGCACATGTTAAGCCAAGGTTTTTTTACCCGTTATGAACCATTGTTAGATTTTTCCTTTTGCATTTGGAGCAATCGATTCCCGGTAAGATTGGTGTGTCTCAACGTGCGCACCTTGGTGTGATTAGTCAGCAGGCAGTGCTTATTCGAACGTCATGTGAATCGATATTTGCTGCTTATCGGAAACCCGCCAGCGAGACTCGAACTGTCTACTGAGTCCGCGATCCCCTACACGTGGCATTGGTGGCACTTTCTCGTTGCGTCTTTCCAATAACAACGCTACTACAAATATTGGTCAAGCCAATGAGGGTATTGAGCTGAGCCCCCGAGCTTAAGTTGCTCTGATCGACTGGATTCTAACAAGTAGCCTGATGTGTGACGCCAATTTTACTCGTTAATCAAAAGTGTCGCGCTCTCACAAAGTGTGTCATTGCTGCATACGTCCCTACAAACAGCAGTGCTTACTCCCAGAACGTTGACTTCTGTCACCAAGTGGAAGAATTACTTTGCCACAGAAGTACTGCGGATACTACGGTGCTGTTTGGTGGTCTAAACGTTTAAACTGGAAAATTGTCCAGTAACGAGCAGCACCTGGGCGACAAAAACGCTGTAGGCTCTCGTAATGATAACGGCGAGCAGTTATTATACCTATGCGAAGATTTCTCGAAAGTCTTAACTTCCGAAACAATAAGCACCGAAGAGTGTCAAGGCGTTCACAAGCCTCAGACCGGCCAGAGACCTCATTCGATAATATCGATCGGTTACCGCTAAATGTTGCGTTCAAAACGGTCGCTCGAAATGGAGCACAGGTGTGGACGCCGAGCATACACTTGTATGTGCGCACCTAACAGTGGGTTTCGGAGGACGACCACGACGACACTGTGAGCGCATAGACATTCGCCAATTGACGAAGGCGGATGTTCTCAATACATATCAAAGTATGCTGGCATCGGACCTGAGTAGGTGATCAAACTACACAGTCCATGGGCACTGGTCACATATTCACCGGACCTTATACATCGCAGTGAGTTTTCATGTGGTAAAGTAGATTGTCAGCATGGGCACTGGGTCTCTACGTAAGTCTCCGGAACTTATGCACGCTTGCTGACACATTCCGACTGGGAGAGGATACAGACTCGCAAAGATCTCAAGGTGAAATTGCGTGCTAGCCTGAAGAGCGACCGCATATATTGGTGATATCATGAAGTGTCGGGGATGGAAACAGCTGCTGCCCGACACCATCAGATTAAAAAGTAGAGTCTACAATGTCGTACTTTTATACAGTTGTGTAACCTGGCCCATCAGATCGACAGGCGTAGAAGCATAGTGCGTTTGGCCAACACTGCCTATGAAGTCCAGATGATGTTCGGTGTGAACACCGTGTGTGCAATGAACGCATTCGCAGTCTTGTTTATGGCGCGGTAAGAGCGAGTGAAGCGTGTAGCCCCATTATATTACACACCAAGTTCCGTCATGTGTTACGCATACCAGCACAAAGACTCCCGTGACCTGCGTTGTTTGCGCAAACGGAGAGTAGCCGTCGAAGAGGATGGGAGGCGATTCAGGGAGTTCACCAAGAGAAATGAAAGCCATTACTTCGAAGTTGGCCTCGGCTGGAGCCACTCGGCCCCCGGGTTGGAATCAGAAAGACGATCAAAACGTTTGGTCGGAGGAAGTTGTTGCTATGGTGAACAGCCGATCTCAGATGCGTTTGTGTTGAGATTCTTTGACCCTTCCCGTCTAGCCCCATCTTCCCTTCACGCATGGTTTCAGTCTGGGCGCATAGAAAAAGAAGAAAACAATTACTCATTTCTTTACTATCCCCGATCGGAGTCGTGTTGCGGCACAACAGCTGAGGCGTTTCTCGTTGCTGTCTGACAATTAGGATGATGATGTGGACTATTGGCATATCATTTAGTAAGAGCATATTTGAGGAGGAAATCATCCATCGTTTGATCGCATGCGCCTAACTTACCGGTTATAACTGGACAAAGTACACCTAGGGAAAATAGCGGCGTGGGTTTATGTTAGAACACAAACGATTCAAAGTGCTTGTCCGGAGGGTTGCGTGTAAATGTCCACTCCCTATGAAACGCGGCGAAATAGGAAAACGTACAGACAAAGAGAACAGTGGCCTTCAATCCATTTTGAGTCTAAGAGCGTAAGTACTGTTCGAGTGATGGAGTTGATCGCGTTCAGGAGGTAAATCTCGGAGGGGTGGACATTGGAGTCGCTGGTGCGTCGAAGGTGGCAGATCAGCGCACGTGACCATCGTAGATGAGAGGAGGCGAAGTATGTGGGTATATCAACAGCAGATGAGGAGCCCGCGGAGAGGCATGGCGGTACACTGAGTATAAAGTAAGGAAATATTGCTTAATAGGTTGTACACCGGTTGAAGGACATCGATGAATGAAAGATAAAATTAACAGGTTGGAAATTTTAGTTAGTGCAAAAGACAACTGACAATACCGGACAAAAAACATCGTACGTACGGATGCGGAGTATGCGCACAGACCGTGCGGAGGCAGCAAAAAATTTCACCGGCAATACGCCAGTACGCGTACGGAGGTTTCGTTGCCGCTCAATCACCAACCATCGCACGTGGGCTAAGAGTACTGGGACGGACACCCGGTCCCTACGCAGGCTCGAACCCGCGCTCGCAGATTATAAAGCAGACTTGTGATCCTCAAGGCTAGGGCCGGTAGTGCTTTTCACCTAATCGACATTGCGACATACTCTCATATGCTTGACAAAGCACATAACAAGAGCTGATTAAAGTATCGAACCCATGTTTAATGATTAAGGGAACTCGGCAACAAACGTGATTGCGCAGTCTGTTAGGTAGTCGCTCGTGTTACGCCAAAGCTTCGTACATCATAAGCCAATTATACTGGAGTCCTACTTAGTCCTTTCTCGCTGGACTAAACCATTCGCATGCTATAGAGACCCCAAAACGATAGGTTACTCTTGTGAATGAGAGAATTGGTATAAAGCCTAGGATTCGGATTCCCCGCTGCTTTCGGTATAACTGGAGATGTTCGTCCGTTCGATCGAGCATAATGACGTTGCCGAAAGTACTTCATCTTGTGAATCGCACGGAATTCAGAGAACTGCAAACAGGTAAGCTGAGTTTCGAGGTTATCTGAAAAACGCTCTGAGGAGGTCAACAGCGGTTGCAAGACAGGATGAATTGGTGACCACGATCCTAAGGGAGCCGACCAGGATATTACTTCAGTTTTTCAAGGACTGTGAGATTACCGAATATTACAAAAAGAGAAACGACTGCCCAGTCAGAGAATCCACAACGAGATGTTAGAGGCAATTTGAATCCGATTTCGTAGCTGACACCGGAGTTCGCTGTACAAAATGATCTCAGGAGTTTGGATTGGAGACCATCGGGAACGACGAGGCGTCTCTGACGATGTGTAATGTGTTCATTCCTCGAAAAATTTGAGGCAGATGTGAGATAAAAGTCGACAGATTACAACGACAATGAGTTAGCTTAAGTGTTTTTTTAAACTTTAACCGTAAGGCACAGAATGAACGAATTCGTCGTCTTTTACAGTAGATGGTCCACTTTTCGCTTCGATCGTGGTGTTAGTGACAACATTCTGCTCTGAATGGTACGGTTTACTAATCCGTTATGATAGCGCTATGGCTGGATATTGAAATCATAAGCAAGCAGTATTGACGTCCATTTGTTTGAACAGAGTATACCAATTGGCGGGTGGTCCGTGAGTAGAATGAAGTGATGGTGATACGAGATTCTGTGAAGACACTGCGAGGACTCCTACGACTTGATTATAATTGCTTTCTGCCTATGCGATTAGTGAGCGGCAAGGACGACGTACTTTACACTACGACTATTGCCAGTAGAGAAACGAAACGCGCGGTCATAATCAACCAAAACGCATGTTGGCTCATATTTAACATCCCTTAGGGTTTCGATCGAGGGCGAAGCCTGAAACGCGGGTTCATACTTCAACTCCGTGATTCTGAACTCGCTTCCTTGTGTGGTGGACTGACTTCGTTGCTGTAAAGAGTATGGAGGGAGCCGCCCTAGCCAACCGGTTCGAATGGGACGTAGTGGCGATATTCGGGGGTCATAATATTATTATCATTAGGCGATTATTTTTTTCGTGATCTAAGAAGCAATGGCTGTAGTGGCACAAATCAATATGTATAAAAGTAACCATGTTCATGCATAGGAGATAAGCGTATGGGAAATATTCAGGCACGAGATTCAAATAATAGCACATTAGTGGATTGGTGATGGCGAAACAAAGTATTTGGAGACACGGGTGCATAGACGTTTTTGGGTCCTCATGGAATAGTTCATCGAGGGATTTTTCTCATATGAATATAGCCATTATTGTATTCAGACCAGGGTAACTCGTGAGTTTGTTACTAGATGTTATCAAATTGCATGAGTGTGATTAGTAGTCCACTCCACACATAAGTACATCTGACCAAGAGGAAATCGGAGCGCATGCTTGTCTTAGCCGTTGGTATAACCACTGCAGAATTTATGTTGCGAAGCTCACGAATTGAGCTCTGTTGCAGTTTGAGTCTAGGTAAATCGGAATAAACTTTTCGTGTCGCAGGTTGTAAAGCGGTAATAAGTTATAGTTCAATCGTCCCATCTAAAGTGGTTCGAGGCAAAGGTAGTTGCGACAACCTCGATAAATTATGGCAGAATGCCTACCAATCAGATGTTTACTAAACGACTTCTGCAGGAGTTTCGGAGCAATTCAGTTGTTCTTTCTTATTTTGCCGTTTATTATGCCACAGTACTCGAGGATGGGCTTGGTGAATAGATCAAAATGCTCAACTCTAGCACGGATTGTGTAGATTTTGTTGGGTATACTAACGAGATTGTCTGATATGTGCTATTCGGCCTGTTCAGAGAGATTAAAGGTCGATGAGTACCCAATCCAGAGATCGCGAGTGGACAGCTGTGTATGGACATGTTCGTTGTTCAGTTCAATAGGTCCTTCGCGGATAGAACAGCCGTAAGACATGATGCTTGATATTTTGGCCGAGGTTCGTCATCAACGAGTGGCACCACGTCTCAAGCGAACATGAGTCGTTTTAATGAGCAACAGCGTTCCGTGGAGTTCACCATGTCGAAACTTATGGACGATCTTGATATCGTTTCCGATTAAAAACGGCCGACCATGTTTATGGATGTGGTGATGTCATTGATGTAGACCAGGAACAGTAAAAAACCGGGTACGTCCCTTGGAATGTCCAACTAGTGACAGGGTGTGGAGAAAAGCGATAGTCAACTAAAATGACTGTCTGGTGGCGACTATACAGGCAGCCTCGTTTGCGGCAACCACAGAGGCATCTCTGCTAATGCTAAGTTATTGACCATTCCGGTCCGTCGCATTACTTTGAACGGGTGGGCTCACGGATCTCAGCGGTTTTGTGACCAAGGCATCAGCGTTTAACCACTCGGCCTTGAGTTTCACCCCAGCTCAAGTTATGTCCACCCGATGACGAAGCCGTCTGTCGTCGGGGGGTCAGTGTTGGGAGCAGCAACATCGAAACACCATTTTGGATACGGTCCTTGTACTCGGAATGACCGATGTCTACTTTAAAGTGAACCGGAGTCTCAACAGATATTTGGTGTCGGAATCCAACCGCACAGCTAGCAATTTAAGCCTAACTTTGAGTAGGGGCGCTGTTGGCCAGCATACACCAGCAGAGAGCATTTAACCACACTGCGGCAGTATACAGAGCAAGGCCATGCAGACAGCAGGTGGGGAATAGTCGTGTTCACCGAATTTTTTGAACGATCGTTCTGTTCCGAAGGGTGTTCCCATGAAATACGCGAACGTTTTTCGTACTCTGCACCCAAAAACTACAAGTTACGTTAAGACCTATAACGAAGTATCAGGTGCATTTCTGACCATGAATTGACTTAGCCAGAGTTAACCCATTATAATATAATCACTGACTTCATGGTTGTTGGGAAACCCGGAGTTTTCTGCAAAACTCCTGGTCCTCGCATTTCCCACGCCAAAATCATGAGGCATGTGGCAAAATTTGCGTAAGCTCACTACGCTACCAGTGTCATTTCAATTCATCTATGTGAGGACTCATCGTCTCTTCCCTTACGGGTCGTTTGCAGGCTTACATTCTGTCTAAGCATGGAGTATTTCCTAGCGAAGTCCCAAGAGGCAGATATCGAGCCCCTTCCAGGGAGACCTAGTTTGACGCGATTGCGAAGAAGACATCATCTGGCGGTTTCACAACCGCGTCACTTGGTGTGTGCTCTGTATCTGTAGCTAAATTGTGAATCGACGGTGCCGGCCTAGGGCTGCAAAGAGGTCTACAATCGGTAATTCGATCATTATGCTGATCATGACACCAATGGTCAGGCGTTAAAATGGTGTTCTGTTTTTTTTAGTTGGTCACAAACGATCATGCACGACGAAGACAGAAAACGAATACTGAATGCAGTAGAGGCTGTCGTGATTCTGTGGATCTGCGTCGCAATCGTCGGGAGGGTCAATTATTCGCTTCAGGTTGTCCATAAACAAGACACAAGAAAACCGTAGAAGTAAAGCATTTCGTTTGTATAGATCAAGTACAAAACAGACCCGCGTCTTTGGGTACAATGCTAGAGGAAGTACACCAGTCATCAACCTGTATACTCCATTTCCGTCCAATAAAGAAATCGCTGATCCACTGATGCAGTGAGCTACCAACACTGAATATCTTCATTCTGTGCAAGAGAATCTCATGGTCGACTTTGTCGAACGCTATGCTGAAATCGATATTCGTCAAGTCTACTGACGTATAACATAACTTTTGTTGCGGCATCACAACCGGCTGGTAGGTCTCCGGAACGATGTCCAACCGTTACTGGTGTCTCAGCTGGCGTACCACTGTTGCATGTTTTTTCTGCTTCTTTTCTTATGTACTACGGCACAATAGCTGAGGTGTTTTCCACCTCTAGCTAACGTGTATAATGAATGAATGGATGGTTCACTGTTCATAACCAGTCATCCTTGGTCACGAGCAGGTTGGTGATGTATGAGCAGCCTTTCATGAAATTGTGTTATGAGGGCGTTAGGAAGTGTTTTGACTCCAGCAAATCCTACACCACGATCTTCTCGAGTACCTCGGCCAAAGCAGCCGGTAACTGCCAACCTTGCTTGTTATCGCCTTTCGAAATTGGTTTTTACTACTGAGTATTACCAGTCGCCCAGCAATGAATCTTTGGGCAGCGATCTGTTGTATAGCTGTCATAGCAAAGATGATGACCAGTGGGGACTTGAGGACTTGCGAATGTAACCCCTCAGGACAGGAAGGATCTGTGCCATCAAGACTAGTGAT